TATATAATTGTCTTAAAGTAAAAAAAATTAAGAGCAAACGGAACACCTTGGAAATTTATAATTCATTCTGAGCCTTTATTTTTAGTTCGATTTTTGAGATATTTTCAGGAAATACCAATAATAATAAAACTTAGGGTGGAGAAACCTTGAATTGTTTGTAAACCTTCGAAGAGTATATATTTTTAAAATGTTTTAAAAAAATAAAAAAAAAATATTTCCTCGCCATTCTGTATTATAACTATGAAAATTTGGTGTCTTTTACTTCAATAAATATATAGTAATTTTTAAATAAGATGAGTTCCCACCGTTTTTTCTCTCTGTAGAGTGATGACTTACCGTTGCACAAATTTAAAGCTCTCAATATTCTCCAGATACATAATATCACGAAATATTTCCAATGGCAAGCATATAAATACAATGTTATATTAGAAAATTCTTAAAATATTTTTGCTTTCGCGAGAGGTCCGGTTTCCTCTTAATCCTTGATATACTAGTTGTTTTTTTAATGTTTAGAGTCAATAAACTATAATCTAGATATTTTTTATTTCTTTTAATCAGGCTTAATGTTTAATTTAATTTCATCTCCAGTCACAACAAGGACAGTGTCATCGGTATAACATACAAATTTTTCTTTAAAAAGGTTCATTTTTCGAGATGCTATTTAAATAAATTAAAATAGAATTGGACCCAATACTGTCCCCTGCTCATTCTGTTTAAAAGGTCAGAGTGCGGAACCGTATCGAAAGCCTTTGCCAGATCAAGAAAAACTGCTTGGCATTTACTTGATTTGTCCAAGGCCCTGACTATAGGTTTAAATAAGTTTAATGCGGCATCTTCAGAACTAGATTTTTGTATAAATCCAAATTGTATTTTCGATAGAACTTCATTTTTGTCCAGGAATTTTAATAATCTGTTTTTGACAGCTTGTTCAAATATTTTTGTAAAATTATTTATAACAGATATTGGTCTATAATTTTTTATTTTGCTATGATCCCCGGACTCAAAATGGGAGTAACTGTGATATGTTTTCACTAGCAATGTATTAATCCACTAAACAAAGCAAGGTGTATGATATGTGATAAAGGAGTCACTACATATATGAATATAACACAGGTCCACAAAAAAAAAGTGGTCTGTGCTGGGTGTTCGACAAAGATTTTCCGACGTATTTTTTACCGCTGAACACGAATCTGAAGTCAAAATTGAGGGTCAAACTGCAAAAAACGGAGAAAAATTAAAATAACCGATAAAATCAATAATGGATATTATCGGTTTTTTTAATTTTTCTCCGTTTTTTGCAGTTTGACCCCCAATTTTGACTTCAGATTCGTGTTTGTGTAAACCTTTCTTCTAACGCAAGGTTTTAATAATCATTGAACATTTTTTTTTATTAGAATACCGCATCAGCCATTTGGTTATTAGCGGACATAAGTAGTTTCACAAATCAGTATGATTATACAATTACATTATTTATGTTTTAAATTTTACGAAGGAGATTTGTTTCTTGTAGAAAGTTAACAATGTTTCTTGAACTGTATTTCTGGAAGATGTCCGGTAAGTTGGATGGATTATTGTTGTTGATTCTTTTGTTTTGATATAGCGGACATTCCACTAAGATGTGTTTGACATTTAACGACTTCACACGCGAAACATTCAGGTTCTGGTATGTTTTGGAGCAAATGTTAATGAGTTAAGCGAGTGTTACCCAGACGTGATCTTGTAAAATAAACTTGTGATGAGCGGGTAGGTGACGCGGTGGCCCACGAACTGAAACTAGGTTTAATTTCCAATAATTTAGAGTTCTTGTTTTGCCAAATTTTATTCCACCGATCTGTTATTTTTGATTTAAAGTTTGATGTTAGATCACTTGCTGGGACTTCATTAAGAGATTTTAGTCTTCTATGGCGTTTTTTGCATACTTGTCAGCCAGTTCATTGCCTTTGATGCCTATATATGAAGGAACCCAGAGAAAGTTTATTATTTTGGGCTTTAGAAGGCTAATTTCTTGTTTGATTAGTTTGGCTATGGGATTTTTGGAGTATAATTGAAATATGACATGAAGAGAAATTAATGTGAAGAAGATGTTTTGGCATAAATTAGTCATCTGTAGATGGCTTGTAATTCGCCAGAGAGAATTGTGCTTAAGTCATTTAATTTAAATGTTTGAAGTTCTTCATCTACTACGAGCGCTGCGGTGTTTGACGTCTTTGTTTTAGATGCGTCAGTGTAGATTACTTGACAGTTGGGATAACCAAAAATAATATTTTGGAAGGCATTTCGGATTAACTGGGTGTTGAAGGAAAGTAGTTGGCTATTTATATTTACAGAAGGAGTTAGCCACGGTGGAGGTGAGGGAATAGCTAGAGAATATACTTGCGGAGGATTTTTAAGGTGAATGGAATTAAGATATCGTCTGTTTCTTTCATGAGGTGGGAGGTGAAGTTTTCCATATGAGACATTTGAAAAGTGCCTGTAAGTGAAGGAGTCATGTGATTTGCGTAATGCAAAATAAGATATACTAAGATGTTGTCTTCTTGAATTTAAAGAAAGTTCACTAATCTAGCACTGAAGGCTCATAATAGGACTTGTTCTGAATGCTCCTGAAATGGTTCGTAAAGCATTATTCTGTATTATGTCCAATGTCTTCAATGTTGTCAAGGATGCTGAGGCATATTCTACGCAGCCATAATCTATTTTAGAACGAATCAGTGTTCTGTAGAGGTTAGCAATGTTTTCCCATCTGCACCCCACTTTTTGTTTGCTAGGCATTTAAGAAGGTTCATCCTTTTTTTGGCATGATATGAGATTTCCAAGTTAGGGATGGGTCGAATATCAAGCCTAAACATTTTATTTTTTTAGTATAGGAAAGTATTTCATTGTTGAGTTTTAGAGCGAGTGATCTAAGAAGTTGGTTAGGTCTTTTGGAGAAGATAATACATTTTGTTTTTTCGGAGAAGAAGCGCAAGCCACTTTGTTTCGACCAAATGCTTAGTCTATTTAATTCCTGCTGTAAAATCTGTGCCATGTTTTTCAAGTTTTTACTTTTTGTGAAAATTATCAGATCGTTAGCAAATAGTCTGGCTTGTAGAGGTTTTTGAGATGATTTTAGCACGTTGTTGATGGCTATTAGAAATAAGGTGGGGCTAATCACGGATCCTTGAGGTGTGCCATTTTGTTGATATTTTCTGATTGATAAGATGCCGTTTGTTCTTACTTGAAAATTTATGTTTGAGAGAAAATTTTGGATGAACGCAAGAATCTAATTTAGAGAGAATTTTATAGTGCCAAGTTGTATCGAAAGCTTTTGTTAGGTCAAAGTATACAGCCATACAATTTTGCTCGTTGGAAAATGCTTCATTGATGTGTGTATTAAAGTTTTTTTAAACATCTTTAAATAAGTTTCCGTAAATAAATTATGCTTTATTAAAAATTATTTCTAATTCGAGATGATGATGCCATATAAAAAGAGTCTAAAACGAGGCAAAATGCTGATAGATATATTTAATAGTGTATTTATGTATACGTTTCAAGGTTATGTACTTACTGCAGCAAGTCGGAGATTGTTACACTTCTCTCTGTTGGGAAATCTGCTAAAATAATAATATTAATATTAATTGCTAGAATTTCTTCAATATATAGAGTCAATAAAATATGACTAATTTGGTAACTGTTTTAGTTACTGAGTACCGTTAGAAGCACGTCCAAGGTTAAGGCATGACGATATTTTAAGATAAATTTATAAAAAGAATAGAGGATTTTTTAATACTCATATATCCAAATATTTCAGTACGTTAAAAATAATTTTACATTTCCAGTATTTAATTTAATTCAATACTGCATGCTATAGAAACACTCTATAAACATACAAGTTACATCTAGTTGTTAAATTTTGTTGTTATAAATTAGTTTCAACCCTAATTTTCCAATTCTAAGCATCCCGCTACATAGTTCTAGCATATTATTTCCCTTTAGGTATTAGAGCAGGAGAGCCAGACAGGCGAAAATCGTCCTGTAATTCACTGTCTACGAATAATCATGATGTTAGAATCTGCGAAGGTAATTCGTAATGTCATGTTCCTTTGTAATTAGCAACCTTCGGACAAGCGTGGCGCTACCATTGGAATTCCGGAATTCTATTACGAAGTTGCAGGAGCATTCTCTCTATCAATTAAAGGGTTTGACGTTAACTACGAAGCTTTTTGTGTGTTAAATATATTTTCGTACGTTTGAAATGTCCCTTTTAATCAAATTTTACTTAATACCCAAAGGATTTACGTATAGTTATATTGGGTTTCATTGATTGAAAATTTAGATATTGATATCTGGTTAGTCTGGAAAGGTTCTAACAAACAAAATTGAATATGGTTTACATTTAAATTGTTTAAACCGCTCTTGTTGTAAATGATTCCGTTGTAAATCATTTGTCACAATTCAAAGTTTCTGAATTCGAGCGTTGTGCCAGCAAATAATATGGTGGTAATTTAGCTTTGTATTTCAAATTCCAACCGGACAATTGAGAGTGTAATTCCTTGTATATAGCAGAATCGTATCGACATGGAGTAATAAATCTGTCAGATCAGGAAATTTTAGGTGTGGGTGTCTATATTATTTACTGGGAACATAAAATCATTTAAAAATATTTTTTTTTTGAATATGTATTATTGAGTATTATTTCAGTATGTAGGTATTTTACAAAATGTTTTTTGAGTTATTTGCAATTGAGGGGGTCAGTGGAAAAGTGGTACATGTGACTAAATTTTTGTTATGAACAATTAAGTAAAGAAGATAACGATGAATACAAAATTATTACATATCTGAAAATAAAAAACAAATATGTTATAATACGTAGTTTTTACTGCTATTTAGTGTCAAAAAAATTAAGTACACCTAGCATTATTGGGTAATTATCAGGAAAACCATTTCTTCACATATACCATTTTAGATAGGATAATGGAAACGGTAAAAATGGTACAAGTGCTACTAGAAACTGTTTATAATACCACACTATCAAATAACTAGGTACATATTAATAACAAATACAATAAACGAAAAGTCAATCTATCATAATACGTCATTTTCGTAGTCTGACAATAATAGTACTCGTTCCGTTACATCTTCGTCTGCATTCTCGGTAGCTGTAGATGGCACAGCAGCAGTTTTTTTCTTTTTTTACTTTTGAGAAGTCTTAGGCGTAGGACCGTCATGGGGTAATTCTTTATAAAAATCATGGTATACTGGTGGTATGAAATCAAGCAATGTCGTTAAGTCTTTGTATTTGGGATGTTTTATATTTATGGGATGATCATATAATGGTTTTAGTTGAATTGTACTACGTGGTCTTCCTACCTGTGTGGACTTTCAGTTAACTATATAAAAGTTAAAGTCCTCAGAAAGAATTTCTTTACATTTCATTTGAAATGGAGAGCCTCTTCGACTCTAATCCATCTAAGTGGTCTCCATCGAAAATCACGTTCATCGTCATAATGTTTTGCACTTTTTTTTTAATGCCGTCAAAGTCTGCAAATGAAAAAAAGTCGTTTGCTGTCATTTCATAAACCTTAAAATTTCTACAGCTCTCAGATATCGCAGTTATGCACTCGTGAGGAAGGAAAACATAGGGGATATGACGTTTATGCTTTTCAATAACACCAAAGTCCTCATTGCACTCTATATATGTGTGCCCAGGTTCCAAATATTTATGGTCTATTACCTCTTTGTGGGTGTTCATCACAATATACTGATATAGAAACCCCCTGTATATCAATTTTTTTAATAAATTTGCCCAGACTCTTAAAAAGGGGTGGTTCGGTTCTAAAAATTTACAATATAAAATTAAAAACCAAATTATAAATTAAAAAAAAATTTGAAATTTTCTTCTTAAGGTCCCTGCTTTTTGTACTTCTACTGCTTCTCCTGCTTCTCCTACTCCTGCTCGTTCTCTGTATTCCAACCTGCTACTTCTGTTATCTGCTTCACTTTCCTTTTAAATTAAAATTAAACTTCTCTTTATCTTTCTTTTATGTTTAACTCCTTGTCTCCTCTGCTCACCGTCTACTTTCTTGGACTGCTTGTTTCCTCTGTCTGTCTCGATTCCTCTTACTGCTCTATCAGTTCTCTAAATTTTGAAATAAAATCTTTTTTACCTTTTTATATGTTTTCGTTTATTATATCTTTTTCAAAGCAAATTCAAAATATAATACAATCCAAAAAGCTTTTTGACAATCTCCCCATTTCACTGACAATCTTCAAAATCAACAAAAACCCCGAGATTTTGATTTTCACTTTAATTTTGATTTCAAGACACTTCACCACCCCAGTATTGCTCAATTTAGATAATAAATTTGATGACGTCAGAAATTTCTATATAAATACATCTAACATTGCAATAGCTTATAATTTTTATTTTGGCCTCCACATGAAGGCCACTATTTTTGTTACATCTTTGGGTAACTCTTTAATGAACTTTAACAGGCATGACGCTACTTCTGACGACCCTCTAGAAGCGACAGCTTCAGACATGTGTACATGTTAACTTTTTTGATACTCAAGTTATGTATTGCAAAATTATATGTCCAGAGAGTTCTTAGGTAATAAATTTGGTTTGTGGTCAAGGAAGGTGTACTTTAAGTTTTTTGAAGATCAAAACAAATTGCGATGATGTCTTTTGATTCCTGACCTTTTGTTTTAGCTTCCCTTTTCGTAGTAATAGCCTTCTCTGTCTTACATAAGTGCAACTCTTTTTCTGTTTTTAGAATCTTTCTTGTATCTTCAGATACGCATGAGTCTATTTGAACTTTTAATTTATCGCATTTACTACAAGTGTCCGTTAATGGTTGATGAAATGACAGGTTAAATTCGTAATTAAATATTTGTCGGTAACACCATTCCTTAACTGACTGACGTTCTTTTTGAGAACTTTGTTCAGTATAGCATTTATACATTTTTCTAATGTTTAAATGAGACGGCAAATATTGTTAATTAGGGTTGTCTTTACAGACGTAATGGCTTTTATACCGTGGGAACATGTTAATATGCTCTCTGTCGAAGTCAGTCAGTTTCAGGTATTTTTCTTGGGTTTGATTTTTGCCTCATTCATCTAAAGTAACAAAACCAAGTTCTGACTTTCTATTGGTTACACGAGTATCTTCCGTTGCTAATATTTAACGTTTTCAGAAAGAATTCTTTGCACACTCTTTGATTTTTTAAATGAATTAAAATTAATTTTGATTTGTGCGTTTTTGCGTCATTGCGTGTACGTAAACATTTTTCTATTTTAATGCATGAAGCAATGTAAGCTGTTTGCCGATCCCTATCGGCAAGACTCCAAAAATTAGTAAATATAAGATGGGCTTCCTCCTCTGTAATAGTGTTGCATGAGTAGCGGTACGTGTGAATAAAATACGTGAATTCCTTACCCCGTTTAGCTTGATTTCGATATCATATATATGCCTTTCCCGCATTTCGTAACTTCTTGTTAACTACTCTTTTATGTTCGTGTGGATTTTTTTTTTGTGTCATCGGCTTCAACTGCTAAGGTTATTTCGCCTCGTGTTCTGTGTAGGCTTTGTTACTGTTTCCCAGCGCCACTTTAGGAACAGCACTGTTAATTAGAATCCAACAGTGAATGGTCGAGTGGGGAATCCTACCAAGGCATCAGGATTAATTTTAATGAAAAAATCCCGGCCAATGGTGGGATTCGAACCTGAGACCTTCCGATCTCAAAGTCATGACTCTAACCACTGAGCCAACCCACCCATTATCGTGTGAATTTATAAGTCGTTTTCTTCCTTTTCTTTTTTTCCTATCTGTAGCATCCCATAATTGAGCTGCATGTCGAGTACTAGTATTTTCGTTATCAGACTCTGAATCAGGAACATAGGTTTGGCCCAAGTCTGAATCGTCAAAGTCAAAGAATTCTAAAAGCAAGGCTACATTCTTACAAAATGTGTAATAAGTTTATGTTTATACAGTTTTATTTACTACTATGTACATACATACCTTCTACATACATTTTGTTTGAAAGTCAATAAACAAATTCGCTTTAAACGCAGATAAACAACAATTTATTCAGATATTAATGTACGCACGTGTTTTTCTCTTGCAACGTGTGAGCTGTGAACCACCTGTTACTGCAACAGTAATAATAATATTTTAAATGTAAAAGTGGTACAAGTGCATTTGTCCCACTTATCCACTCAGGAAACTGCGGTTTTACTTTACAGGTAAATGTCGCTATCAAGTACAAGTTTTACTTGTACCAATTTTGCTTTAAACGAAATGGCACATTACCTTTGCAGAAGTGTATTTAGACTAATTTTGATAAAAAATTCACATATACCATTTTTCCACTGACTCCCTCAATTGTAATGTAAACGGTAGAGTTATCTGTTTGAGTAAATTAACAACAAAGTTTACAACAAATATTTTTCAAGACCTATAAATTTGACTCTTAGGTATACCTACATTAAATTGTTTTTTTATGCCCATGTCAGTAAATGTTAAAAATTGCACTGTCAACATTCCTTGTTAATGACATTTAACAATAACATGCACGTAATGAGATCTCATAACATACACGTGCGTTTTGATAAAAAAACTTAAATTTCTTAGTTTAATCAAATTGCAATCAAATTTTTATCTACCTACGACTTTATTTGGTCTATTTACATCAATTTAGTCAATTGAGAAACATAAAAACTTTTAGCATTAGCGAGATACATTTTGGATTAAAAAATGAGAAATAAACATCTTTTCGTTTATATTGTCAACAAAATAATATTGTATTCGAACTTTTTCTCAACTTTACCTACGAATATGTCTGTTAGTAGTGAAAGTAATTAAATTATGAACACTCCACCGGAGATTTTAGAAAAAGCTCAAGCTGCCACACATAATTTGTTACCGCTAAAATCCAAAGAAAGGTACGAAATTTCCTATCGAACATTTATGGATTGGCGACACAAACATACGTCCTTTATTTAATAGAAGAAAATAAGTGGGCGTAGAGAAAGTATAGTACGTTACACGAGTTGTAAGCCCATTACGCACACGTGAAATTTACGCACTCGCTGATACGCGGCTTCGTGCGTAAACTTTTTCACTTCCGTGCCTAATGGATTACTTACAACTCATGTTACGTAATATACTATTAAATCGTTATTCAAAATTGACTTCTTTGAAATGTTTGATGTCATAGTCAAAGTCAAGTGGAGAGAAATGTTTCAGCTTAGATTGTAGAAAATAATCTGAGGGTTCAAAATCTATAAATGTGACTATAATTGTATTAAAAATGTAAATGGGATAAATCCTTAGATTATAGAAATCTATAATCTAAGGGTTAATCGTTATTTTATCTTCTTTACGATTACTAATGCCATGGAAAAAACAAAATGATAACAAGGGGGTGGGATTATAAGATGGTTACCTACCTAGGATTTGGTATGAAGATAAGATAGGCAGTTGCAGTTAGTATTTTGATCAGTTCCCAATATTACCTATCCTGTTTCTATATTATCTATTATAGTAAGAAGTTATTTTCGGTTAATAGTAACAGTAGTATTGAAAAATGCGGTGTAGTTTAAGTTCAAAGTTTACACCTGTGAAACGTATAAAAAAGTATTCGTTGTCAGTTAGCGAGAAAATATTTTTAAGCAATGTTTATAATTGCCTAATAATGGAAAATCATTCGTTTTCTGTTGACGATACTTTTGAAAAGACAACTAATATGATGGCAAATCAACGATATATAAAGTTATAAGTGAAATAAAAAGTGAAGTTGTTAAACCTTTAAAGAAAAATGCAGGCGGTAAGAAAAAAGTGGAATTTACTGAACAAATTAAAAGCGGAATAAGAAAAAAAGTTCACGAATTTTATTTTAAAAAAGAGATACCAACACTTGCCAAGGTTTTAGATGCAATCAAGATTGAAGGTTCCTTTCAGTAGAGGACAAAGTCTAATTATAACTCATATGTTAATATAGAGGATGAGTCTCATAAAACTCTAGAAATGTATATGTCTGAAACCAGATAACATTTTAAAATTTAAACCTATTAAAAGTCATTTGGTCGCTAGGGGTGGGTGATTATCGTAATAAATTATCGATCATTAAAAATAATCGATTATTTTCGATCAATCGATTAATTTCATACAATCTTTTTTTTTTGTATTTTCTTTAAAATCGACTAATTGAAAAGTCAATTAACCGATAAATCAGTATTTACAAAAAAAATATTAAACGATTTATTTTAAATAATCGATGATTTTTAAATAATCTATATTTTTATGTCCAGTCCAGTCAGATATTATTCGATAATCTTTGAAAAATCGAAAATAATCGATAAATTAAAAAGTCGATTAACTGATAAATCGATTTTTCAAAAAAAAAAACCGAATTATCGATTATTTTAAATAATCGATTATTTTTGATAAATCGATTATTATCAAATAATTTATTTTTATCGTATTTTCTTTAAAATCGATAATTCGATTATCTTTAAAAAATCTAAAATAATCGATTATATAAAATAACCGATTATATTCGATTAATTGAATATTTTTATTTAATCTATTTTTTCGTATTTTCTGTGCAACAAATTATTTGAATACCTTTGAATAATCTAAAATAATCGACTAATCGAAAATATTCGGTTAATCGAAC